AAGAATCACATCTCAAGCAAGGCCAACACAACCAAGAGCAAGAAACATGGAAAAAGGATGTGCTATGGTTGTGGATTGTATGGACATGAGTGGGCTATGTGTCCACACAAGAGTTGGGCCGACAAAGTTGAAGCCGCCAATCAAAAGGCTTCTACCAAGAAATGCCCAATGTACAAAGAAGCAAGAAAGGAAGCCCAAGTTGCAACTAGAAGATGCTATGGGTGCAATGAGATGGGCCACAAGGTTGATAGATGTCCATACAAGCAAATCAAGCATAGAGCACACAAAGGCCGCATATGCTATGCTTGTAGAAGAAAGGGGCATCTAAGCTATGAATGCCCAAATGGTAAAACTCCTAAGCCAAACACATTTGTTTATAATGATATGCTTAGGAAGACCACAAATGGAGTTAGCACTAGTAAGGTGATGTGTTCACCACAAACTAATGCTAAAGCCATTTGGGTGCCTAAGCACTTATTAACTAACTCAAAAGGACCCAAAATAGGTATTTCCTGCCTGCACTAAAAATATTTATTCTCTGTTCTAACTTGGTGTTGCAGGGTTGTAGCTTCTAGATATATTCTTTATACCTTGTTTACTCTGTGGCTAACTTGTGAGGGGTGGTAGTACTCTTAATTTGGAGTTTCCATTTTGGAAACTCCCCTTTCTAATTGTTTCCGCATTTAAAGGTGTTAATTTTCAGAAACGCCTATTCACCCCCCTCTAGGCGACATCCTAGGTCCTTTCACATCTCTATTGGTTCATTTATTGCCGGTTGTAATGTGGTGTTTTCAAAACCTATTTTTCTAGTAGTGTCTGTTACCCCTTCAAGTTATACATTGCATCGACACTTGCTAACAGTTAGTTACTCCTTGCCCTCATTGCACACTCAATCTTACGTATCTAATCCATCACCAGTGACGTACATCTTTAAAATCCTTTGCCTATCAAGGAAGTAGACATATTTGATTTATGCCCATCCATGTTTATATCGAAGGTGAGTACAGAGAGAGTACTTTCTATTTAGTGGTGATGCAAGAACCCCCTACATGGATGCCACAACCACCCAACATTTTTTCCTTCTCCTTCTCCTTACTTCCTTCCTAACGCTAGTAGCTTCCTCTCCCCCCTATTAACTCCACCTTTGTCCCTACGCCATTGTTAGCCACACCTTTCTCTAGCACCAACACTCAATTTGGATCCGACTCTCTTGTCACCACCGCTAACTAGTGCAGCGATGTCGGTGTGGACCTCCTTCCCTCTCTTTGCTCTACCATCTCCATCATCACCCTTCTTGATTTGGTGGTGCCATTACTGCTGGATCCATTATCACAATGATGACAATCAATGCCAACACTGCAGCCATGACATCCCCCACAATCCACCCTCTCAATCAACCTCCATCACCGCAGTGGGTAGCACCACTGCTGCTATATCTATCCCATGCACACCCCCACCACCACTGCTGGTCTAGCAGGCTCCATCGTCCCTCTAAACCCACTGAAACAAATCCCCTCCCGAATTCAACACCCTATCCCTAATCAGAAAACCTAACCCTAATTAGTTTTGTTGGAGTTGGATTGGCCACTAGAGAAAGCAAGGTGATCATTGGAGAAGGAGAGGTCATCGGAGTTGTAAGTCAAAATTGATTCACCGGATTTGGTTTGTTAATTCCTCCTCCTTTCTTCCTATTCAGCCCATTCCCTTTTCCTTATTGTATTTGTTTCTTGATTTTGATAGTGATTTGACTCCATATTTGTGTATGTGTGCGTATGTTTGTTTGAGAGGGCTCATGATTTAAGTAAAAAACTGAGAAGCAAGTCTATTTAGCTTTTAGGTTTAATGTAATATGAAAATCTTTTATTACATATACATATACTTGTGTAGCGATGTCATGTATGTTCACAATTCAAATATGTTACTCCATCCTGTTCCAAATGATAAGAGGTTTTGGCTTTTCTAGATACATAACTTTTACTATGCACTTATATATATAATATGTCTAGATACACAGTAAAAACAATGTGCCAAAACATCTTATATTTTGGAACGGATGGAGTATATTTATATCCGCAAACATATATGTTTGACCTCCAACTTCTTCACCTTTTCATTTGATGGATTTGAAACCCACCAATTCAGATCCAACCTTGTCTCTTCTTAGTCCATGACTAAAATATGGCTTAAATGACAAAATCTTAGAGATTTTCTCGAAGAATCGATTTTTGGATATCTCACATTTATTGTCTTCCCATGTAACAATAGTTTCTTGGACTAATAAGCAATAAAAACTTGCCAAGATATCTTCCCTCCCTTCTCTTCTCTATAAATAAATATTATAAAATTTGGTGCCTAGCCTAAAAAGATTTGTTGAGGGTTGGAAATAGAAAAAAAAAGAACTTCGTGCAATATATCAGATCAGACCTTGAGGAATTGCTTAGAATTAGCAGGGTCACGGCGACGTGATGGCAAACTTGTAAAAACAACCGGCCAAGTTTTCCCAGGAAAATATCAAAAATACCCCTCCCATCCGTGGCCCTAGCAAACCGGTCCCCTTCTTCCTCCTCCCCTGCGCCGCCGACCGCTGCCGCCACCACCGACCGCGCCCGCCTCCTCTCCCCGTCCGGTACAGTGGGGGCGGCGATTGGTGACTCCTCCTTCTGTGCTGGTATGTCTCCCAAACCCCTTGCTTGCTTGCTTGGATTGGATGCACGCGTTCCTTAATCTGTGCCAAGTCAGGGTTCGGTTCCGTTCTCAATCGAACCCAGCAGGTCCCTGCTCAGTTCAATGGTTCGTTTTGGTTCTTCTTCAGCTTCGCCGGTTTCACACCGCGCCGGCGCAGTTTATTTTCCGTAAAATTTGGGGGTTTGAGTGAATTCAACGCCTCTCCTAGTCTCCTAGGAGATTCCTCGCTTTCCCCCTTTTCCGTGCCTGCCCCCCGGCGTTGGTTATTTAGTGGCAGCTGCTGTTCTTCTTGGTCTCGCACTCACTCCTAATGTGATTTGTGCAAATGGCAGGGGATTCTTGAACAAAATTTCCCAACTCGACCCCTTTCTTTTTCAGTACCGACCTTGCTTTTGGTGCCTGTTGTCATTGTGGACCCGCGATTTGGAGTGAATGGCACTGCGCCCCATGTTTTCCTCCTGACTATCACACAGACAGACACGCAGGCACATAGGCGAATTGGCTCCATCAAGTTAGTTTCACAGGCTTCTAATTCGTAGCTTAGATTATCATACTGTTTGACTGCTCAAATTGACAAATTTGTTGTCCATTGTGAATCCATTCACAATTTCACATTCTGTGTCTTCTGAAAGTTCAGTACGACGATGACTTAACAGCTCCAAAGTTCCATGATCTCCAAGAGTTGAGATCTCCAAAGTTCAGTACGACCATGATCTCGAGGACACCATCTTGACCCATGCCGTTGAGATCTCCAAGAAACAATACGGGTGAGAGCTGAGCATATACCATTACAACATGAGTTCATTCACTGCGTGGTTCTTCTCGATCGTCACTCCTAACGTTCGTTCTCAATCTGGAGAAACTAACGGGCGGGCCGGGAAACCTCCTTCTGGCCGGCATTCGCATGCCGCAGCAGCGTCTTCTTGTAGGAACTCTTCAAGAGAGGCCATCACGATCAGCTCGAGGACCGCATCAGGGCGTTCATCGTGGACGATCTCGTGGCGTGGTCCACGGACACATACGGGCACTTCGTGGTACAGGCGTGCTTTGGCCCCCGCGCTAGTCCGTCTCCGGTGCCTCCGTTGCAGCGCGGGCTCGAAGCGTTCTTGCGCCTGCCCGACGAGCGGCTCCGGGAGTTGGTGATGGACTGCAATGCCTACCACGTCCTCGGCTCGCTGCTCCAAACCAGCGTAGACGTAAGTATTCGCCTATCCTTCCTGTCACGCCAACAGTGGGCCCGCGCCGGCCGGCCGCTCGGTCGTTCGTTAGCTGAGACTGGCGTTTCATCTGTGCAGAATGTGCCATGCAGCATGGAGCGGCGCCGGCGGAGGCGATGCAGCTTGCAGAGCGGATCTTGGGGATGCCGCGGACGAGACGGATGCTGAACTCCGTCGTCCGGCGGGTGATCGACAAGAGCAAGCCGTAGCTATTTTGCACTAGTAGTCGACGATTTGCTCCGCTGAGTCAGAGCACGCCACCATGCCTAGACTGTACTCCGACTGCGAATTGTGTGTTTGACTTTGATTGATTGGCATTGCTTGCTGACGTACACGGCCAAATGTCTCTGGTTTCTCTGTACAATGCTACGGGTCACTACTGTACATCTCTAAACATTTCGTACAGCTTAGGCTTGTGTAGTACGTACTACTACTACTCCGTAGCCAGCATCTCTGCTTGTATCCACCCGCTAATGTTGTGTCAGATTAAAAGTCGTTGCAATTTGTGCATGCATGTACCCGAGTGCGGAGAAGAGAGCGGCGGAGAGCCATGCATGCACCCGGGTGAAAATCCAGCGTGGGGCACGTGCACAGAGAGCCATGCATGCGCCTGTATGCGTGTGGGAAGGGGTTTTTTACAAATGTGCTTTGAATTTAAGATTAAATAAATAGGTATGGACTGCAGTGAACTATTTTAAAAGTTTATGGACCCAAAAAGCCACTTTGGAAGTTGATGGACTCAACTGAAACTTCCTCACAAGTTAATGGATCTGTGGTGCATTTAACTCTTTTGATTACGTAACCCAACCAGTAGACCTTCTTGTAATACATAATACAGGCCTGTCTTAGATTTCGTTCCATCTTTTTCTTGGATGAGTGCTTTGTCTGTTAGTTTCCCATCTGTTAGATTTATCTGAAATATCATGTGCAGTTCAACCATGCTTGCCTTACGTTTCCTGCTATTCTCATTTTACTTGTTGACTGTATATTATTTGATTCAATGTAAGCCATATCAAAGAATCTCGATAGAGATGAATTTCCCTTTGGTTTTCTAAACTGTTGTGCCTTTATACTGACTAAATCAGTGACTCAGGGAGCATGGCGGATGGGGCTATTGTGGTAGCCATTTGCCAGTACGGCGGAGAGTTCACTTCTGGCACCAGTGGTAATCTGATATACAGAGGTGGAGAAGCGCATGCTGTTGATGTTACTCGTGATTCGTCGCTGGAGGGCTTCAAGGATGAGCTGTGCAAGGTGTTCCATGTTGATGTCACTGACATGTCACTCAAGTACTTTCTTCCCAATAATATGAAAACACTCATCACAATATCATGTGATCGGGATTTGCAAAGGATTATTGATTTTACTGCCAATGCTGCACATGTGGATGTTTTTCTGATAAGCAGACAAGAGAACAGGCATGTCTTGTTCTACCTTTTTTGTGTGACCTTTTATAATTCATATAACATCAAGTATATCATAAGGTGATGGATTGTGCTGGATAATCAGGAGCATTGTAACACATTCTGGAGCTACATCTGGCTCTGTTGCTAGTGGCGACAAAAGGAAAAGACCAACTTCCAAAAACAAGTATGTGGTATCGCTCGGCTTATCAACATTATCTTCAACCCCATACTCTAATAAGCATCACAATCAATGCTATCCCTTTCTAGGGTAATCAGAAGCAGCAAGCCAGCTACCAGCGCTCCTGGCGATGCAGTTCAAGCTATCACAGATAATGTGAGACAACCAATTTCAGTTATTACTGAAAATGAAGACAACAGGTGCAGAATCAACCTACACACAATTGCTTAATCTTTGCATGCCTTCTTGGCTCTGAGATGTTATGCAGAATAAACTGCTTTCAATGTAAATGCTGAGAAAAATGCTTCTGTTGATGCTATGAATTAACTGCATGCTAGTTCCTACATTTGTCTGTTAGCTGCACATATCTATGCGTTCTGTTAGGTTGTTAGTGCGTCGTGTTAGAAAGCTTCTCTACATATGAAAAACATAATCTCCTCCTGGGTTCAAGCAAAGAAATAAAAAAAATAAGTTCTAGCAGAGTTTCATGATGAGAGGTATCAAGTTCGATGTTAGCGATAACAATCTAGCCTTTACTCTGGTCCTCTGACCCTTACCACGAGCCAGTCCATACCAATGCGACCGATTTCATCGACTGGTTCCATGCGCTTTGTGATCCTAAATTTTAGCTGTATAAAATTTGTCTACTTACTGCCATCTGTTGAAGTTGTTTCTTCATTTCAAGGAATAGCTTCACTTTTATGGACTACGGTCCATACCTTTAGTTTAATCAAATAAAGTTCCCAGTGGACATGTGGCCTAGTTCATCTTCAATGTCTATTTTGCAGTTCTGTTACTATATCCTATTACACTATTGCAGTCCTATTATTTACTTTGTTCATTAGTCAATGGTTGACAAAAGGGTACCACAGAAGCTAAAAGGCAAGTTTTATAGGACGGTGATTAAACCTGCTATGTTGTATGGTGCAGAATGTTGGCCTACGAAAAGACGACATGTTCAACACATAAGTGTCGCGGAAATGCGTATGTTGCGTTGGATTTGCGGTCATACAAGAAGGGATCGAGTTCGGAACGATGATATACGTGATAGATTAGGGGTAGCACCAATTGAATAAAAGCTTGTCCAACACCAGTTGAGATGGTTTGGACATGTCCAACGGAGACCTCCAGAGGCACCGGTGCGTAGTGGAATCCTAAGCCAGGATAGTAACGTGAAGAGAGGCAGAGGAAGACCGAAGTTGACTTGAGTAGAGGCAATAAAAGGAGACTTGAAAGGATGGAATATACCCAAAGACTTAGCCTTAGATAGGAGTGCTTGGAAAATAGCTATTCACGTGCCTGAACCTTGATTGCTTCTACTGGGTTTCAACTCTAGCCTACCCCAACTTGTTTGGGACTTAAAGACTTTGTTGTTGTTGTATTAGTCAATGGTTCTGTTTTTTTACTACATTGTCCATTCCCAGTTACCGTTTTCATCTTTCTCAAAACTAGGGTTTTTTCAGTTGGAATTTGGGAATGACATCGCATTTACCACCACAGCTGGAGGCGCTTCCTTCACATCAGATATTCTCGATCAGCAAAAGCTTGCTCTTGTTGATAATATCCCCAGGTAACTTGTTACACATTCATATCTTTCTCTCCATATTGTTTGCTAAAAAGGATTACTTTTTTTGACGTTTTTTTTCAATTTTGTATGATTTTTTTTTCAGGGAAGCAGTTAGTCTGTTTGATGATGCATTCAATCCATATGTTGGTTCTGAGATCATACATGAGCCTCCTCAGGGACCTAACAATCCTATTGTGTTGTGGGATGACATTATCAAAGGAGTTGGTCAAGAATTTGATAATGTGAAAGATTTCCGTGCTCAGTTGTGCAACTATGCTATTGGGAAAGGATTTGTGTACCGGTTCATAAAAAATGAAACCACTCGCGTCACTGTAAAATGTGCTGCAGAAGGAGGCTGCACCTGGCGGTTGCATGCGTCTGAATCATCTCGTAACAAGAAATTTGTTATCAAGAGAATGACAGATGGACATACTTGTGGTGGAGGAAGTGGAGAGGGTCAGCGTCGAGCAACAAGACAGTGGTTGACTACTATCATTAAGGAGAAGCTGCATGATAACCCAAAGTTTAAGCCAAAGGAACTTGTAAAGGAATTATTTGAAGAATACGGAGTTACACTAACATATTCACAGGTTTGGCGAGGCAAGGAAGTAGCAGAGAAAGAGATTTATCATGCTATCAGGGAGACTCGCGATCAGTTACCTTGGTATTGTCAGAGGCTTGAGGAGACCAACCCAGGAAGTATAAGTGTGCTGTCTCCGGAGGTGGATATGAAATCCCGCCACTTTTTTGTTGCATTCCATGCTTGTTTGCATGGTTTTGTAAATGGGTGCAGGCCCCTCTTATTTCTGGACAAGGTCCCACTGAAAGCAACGAATGAGTACAAATTGCTTGTGGCTGCTGCCATTGATGCAGATGATGGTGTCTTTCCGTTGGCATTTAATGTGGTTGAAGATGAAAATTATGATAGCTGGGTTTGGTTCTTAATGCATCTGAAAATAGTTCTTCAAACCCACAACTACCCTTGCAATGGCATGGCATTCTTGTCCAATGGACAAATGGGTCTGGATGCTGCTGTTTCTCACGTGTTTGAGGATGGCGAACATGCCTTCGATCTGTTTGCACCATATTATTGAGGAATTTGAAGGAGAGCTGAGGAAGGGACCTTGGTCACAACAAATAAGGGAGGGGATGGTTGAGGATTTCACTCGTGCAGCCCAAGCGTGCAACATCGAGGATTTTAATGCATCCATCGAGAGCATAAGGAATATATCCAGTGAAGCTGCTGACTGGATCATTGCGAGCAAGCCAGAGCATTGGTCAGATGCCATTTTCCGAGGCTGCCGGTATGATCATTTCTCCTTGAACATTGCTGATGCTTTCAATAACTGGATACCAACCAAGAAGGAGAGTTCCATAGTGCTGATGGTAGACTCACTGAGAGTGAAGATTAAGGAAGTAATAGAATCAAGGCTTGAAGCTTGCAAGGCGTGGGAAGGGCCTTTAACACCTACTATGGAATACAAAGTGCAGGATGAGATGCTGAAGGCTGGCAAAATGACTGTGCTGTGTTCCTCCGAGACTGTGTTTGAAGTGAGGGGCAATGCAATTTTTGTAGTTAATCTTGGAAATTGGGAATGCACGTGCCGGCGGTGGCAGCTCTCTGGCCTCCCCTGCATGCATGCCATTGCTGTGTTCAACAGGCTTGGGCGCTCTTTCTATGACTACTGCCCAAAGTTTTTTAGAATAGAAAGCTACCATCTCACATACTCAGGAATAATCTTCCCAATACCTGACATGGATAGTGTTGATTTTGGTGCCGGGGCGAATCTACTCCCACTGCCTCCCAAGCAGCGCTCATACTTATATTTGCTTGAGCTCCAGCTGTCAATTAATCTCAGATTTGTACTGAATGCCATAGAGTGACTTTGTTGTAAAATTTGTCATCTTCATTTCTATGTCCATGTGGTTATTATGAGAATTATGTTGCCAAGAGCATGATGTGCATGCAGATATGGTGTACTAAGAGTGTTTTGTATGGCAGCTATTAAACTGAAATATGCTGAGAAAAAAATTATTTTTTTCTTTCAAAAATAGGTTTGCCGAGTGTAATTCCCAAAAACACTCGGCAAACAATAATGGTATGCTGAGAAAAAATTATTTTTTTCTTTGGAAAATAGGTTTGCCGAGTGTAATTCCCAAAAACACTCGGCAAACAATAATCCTTTGCCTAGTGTATTTTGGATAAACACTCGGCAAACCATTTGCCAGGTGCGCGATAAAAAACACTCGGCAAATAGCTGTTTACCAACACTGTAGATGTCGTGTGCTGTTTGCCGAGTGTTACACTCGGCAAAGCCTTTGCCGAGTGCTTTTTGGTCTTTGCCGAGTGTCTGTGGCACACGGTAAAGTCACTGTTTCTGGTAGTGCTCCTCCGTGGTGATTGTCTGTGCAAATTTTGGGATCGTTTCGTGGAGTTTTGATCGAGTTCCGTCGATTTTTCTGCTTGCTCCTCCTTGCTGTTCGTGCGCTCTACGTGCTGAGCCACGAGCTCTAGCTCTAGCAGCCATCCCAGCAACCTTCCAGCTGAAAACTTTCAGGTTGCAACTTCCCCGCAACAACCTTTCTGGAAAACCTTCCGCAAACTTTCGGAAACTTTCCTGCAGCAACCTTTCCGGAAACCTTCCGCAAACTTTCAGAAACTTTCCCGCAGCAACCTTTCCGGAAAACCTTCTGCAAACTTTCGGAAACTTTCCCGCAGCAAACTTTCGGAAAACCTTCCGTAAACTTTCGGAAACTTTCCTGCAGCAGACTTTTGGAAACCTTCCGCAAACTTTCACTCAGAAACTTTCATGCAGCAACCTTTCCGAAAACCTTCCACAACCTTCGCGCCACAACCTTCGCTCCGCCACTTTTGCACTGCAACCTTCAAGCTGTAACCTTTGAGCTGCAACCTTTCCATCCTCAACCTTTAGCTGCAACCTTTCGGCTACAACTTTTCCAACAACCTTACAGGTGCAACCTTCACATGAACCTTCAAGACCAAACCTTCGTAGCAACTTTCTCGCAGCTTCCTGTGTTTCGTTTTTGGGATTGTGCTTGGAACAGTGGCTTAAGTTTTTGAAAGAAATTTTTGGCTCCCATGCACCCCTCTCTGGTGGTCGTTTTCGGTCCTTCGGCTTGTGCATGTAAAACTCGTTTGATGACATCATGGATGAGCTCCTACATTATTCAATACAATGTCTGCCAATGCTTTAAGAAGAGAAATGCTTGCTAGCCGTAATGAGAGTAGCAAATGCAGGAGAGCAATGGGTGTGCGACATATTCTTTAACACAGCATAGCAATTGTTGTACACAATAGCAGCCAATTATCATGGGGATCTAAACAATATATAATGCCTAATGCACTCACGTTTGGCTCTTCAAAGAACTCCCTTGGGCAAAGGGGGACCGCCGCCTCCGCCCTCACGTGGCTCCGCCCGTGGTGTAAGGGGAGGCACGACAACTTAGGAATTAGGATTTCATTTATGTGGTTGAGAATTTTTCTTGGGTTAGAGAAAGGAAGAGAGGGAAAAGGTCTTGTTCTTGAGGGCCTGAGCTTTAGGTAGCGTTTGGTTGAGAGTTAAGGTGGGGTGGGACGGTCCTGTCTCTGGTTTCTGGGACGGGACAGATCCAATTTCTGTTTGGTCGAAGAGGGATGGGACCAACCCATTTTTTGTTTGGTCCGGAGACATAAAAAGTAGGATCACCCACTGACAGGTGGGGTCTACTCGTCAGTTTTTTTTCTTTTTCCTCACCATCGCGAGCTGCCTTATCTCTTTCGCCTCCCCAACCGTGAACTCGCGCAAGACCGCATCATCCTCAAGAAGAAGCGCGGCTGCCAGACCGCCCCATCCTCCACCAGTGAGTGCAGCCACGCGACGCCCCGTGCCTCGTCTCACTCCCGCACCCAGGAATCGGAGCCCGGAGCGCCATCTCGCAACTGCTCAGGAGGGGCAAGCGGCGCATCTCGTCGGCTCACCAGCGCGGAGGGCCGGAGGCGGAGCCGGCACGCACGGCGGAGGTCGCCGGGGCCGGGGGCGGAGGTCATCGGGTAGGGGCGGAGCCTGCGCGCTCGCCGAACACTGGGTCAGGGCGGAGCCCAGGCTTCTTCCTTGACTCCGGCAACTCGGGTGAGTCACTGCTTCTTCCTTCTTCCTCAACTGCGGCAAGCCCCCGCTCCTCATCTCGTTCTTCTCACGCACGCGTGCGGCCCATGCAGCACTTGTCCCACGAGGACCATCCCCGTCCGCTCTTTTTTGAGGGGCGAACTGTGCCCGGATCTTCAGCGAATATTCGCTCGTGGGACGTCCTCGTCCCCGCTTGCCTCGGATCCAAACAGCCCTCGTCCCGGGGCCGTTCCATCCCATCCCTCCTCGTCCCAGCATCCAAACACTACCTTAATTTGCTAGCAATGGCATGTATCCAATAATTTAGAGCTAATCCAAGATTCAATTTTGTGCTCATCCCTATCTCCCTCAAGTCTAGAGCTTCTGTCTTTTTTTTTAGATTTTTGGAGCTATTTTGATGGATTTCATGACTTAAAGGCCATCAAATGTTTCCGAAGTTTATCTATCCATAAACCCTGCTTTCTAGCCTTTCTTTGAGCCAGTTGTTTTCTATAATTAGGAGATTCACGACTTCTTTGAGCTGGGTGGTTTTGTTCATTTTCATGCTTAATCTTAGTGTTATGTGGTCTTTGGAACATATATAGGCTTGCCCCTCACGAGCATCTCAACATCGATTTTGAGTTTTCTCGTGAAAACCTCAATTTTATAGAGGGATTTTAAACTTTAGTGAAGTCTTTGACATTTTTAGAAAGATATTATGGGAATACCTTTACCATGTTTATTTGGGAGCTATGGTTAGAATTTCATGAATTTTAGAAATTGTCTGATCAATTTTTTAGATTTTGCCTCAATTGTTTCAAAGGTTGATTTCTTGCGAGTGCAGAACTTCTGCACATTGGAACTTCTGAATATTTTTGTTGAACTTTTGCACCTCAACTTCTGGACTTCTATCGAACTTCCAAACATTTTTGTGGAACTTCCGAAGATTTATGTTGAATTCCCACATACCTTGATTTTCAAAGGTGTTTTTTGACTCGTTCTTGCTTCCTCTTACTTTCTAGGCATTCCTATAGCATTGTCCCAAGATTAAATACTCTTTTTATGGCTGTGTGGTGATGGATTTTCTAGAATACTGGTGTTTTGGGCGAAAATCTTGACTCATGATAAATTTCTTAATTCATTTTTAATAAAAATGTATTTTGGCTCCTATTCATCCCTCTCGTTGCTTGTTCCGTCCTTCAGTAGAACAATAAGATTCGCTCACCCGTCTCAAGAAACACGAGGAGACAAGTACCTCAGGTTCCCACACACTAATATTCAGGTAAAATATGTGTGGAGTTCCCACACGGCCACACACAAAAACTTGCAGAATCTATAGAGCATAAATGGTCAGACAATTCTTGCCGTGAGACATCGGGAACATACTGCGTAAGGAGGACATCACACGATAACGACTAATGAGTGCGAGTTGTTGACGGACATGGAAGCACCCATAATAACATGATGCAACGTGACCTGGATCGCTGATGAGCTAAAATATTCTAACCCATTACATGGAGCTGAATCTATATATATAGACGAAGGCCATTAAAAAAACACTAATTGTTATAAAGCTGTAATCATGTTGAGCCTAATCACAAGGTTCGAGCGAAATCTTTCCTTTCATCTGGACCTCATTTAACCACGTCGGTGCGTGGCACTTCAGTAGGATGTGACGAGTAGTTGAAATCAACACATCATGGAGTTCTTAGGGCATCACAACAGTCATCATCACCATTCATGGATTATATTTGCCTTGATTCATTCATACAACATTCAAATTGGATTGCTTTCACAAATTCTTATTCCATAGAGAAATCGTTTAAATTAATTTTAAATATCTGTTGCAACATGCAGGGAAATCATCTAGCTATTCATAATTGTGAACCTTGGTTGCACGCAGTAAATAAGAATGGACTCTATGTGTGGTTCAGTCATTACTCAAAAAAAACTATTTTTAGAGGCATACTACATCTTCCTTTTTCCTAGAAGAAGGCCGTAGTGGGCTCCTAATCAAACTGCAAGGCAGGCGAAGGCCGAAGCCCACTGCTAGAAATCAATTTCGCGAGACTTTACTTTAACTTGCTGTCCTCTAGGACTGCACCGGACAGAAATATTTAGTAAATGGATATAGGTACCCACGAGCCAAGCGTATAATTTAACTAGCCGGTACCCCGCGCATTGCCGTGGGCGCAAGTGAGAATAATGATTGCCACGATAGTATATCATTCGATGCCCATGTACCAATATAGTTGTCAATTAAAATGCAAAAAGATCATAAAACCTTAAGTCGAGCATATACAGAAGAAAGTTTGGAAATTGGATAATTTCTGACAAAACCAAATGATTGGCCTCATAGAAGCAATTAATCTTGAATGTGAAAGAAGGGGAAGGTTTAGAACCAAAGGATAGAATGAAATCAGTATCAAGTTTTAGATTTTGAAATGCTCTATTCCAGGTTAAAGTTGTTTCCATAAATCTTCAACGTGTAGCAGGCGTGGAGCTGTAATCGGACGCTGATGGAGAGTAGCTTCGTCTTTCTCTAGCACCGGTGAGCAAGCACGGAGAGCAGGTTTGACGATGTCACTGTGGGGTGGTGCTACTCTGGCACCTTTCCATCTTCGAACCTCGGCAACAATAGCTGCCTTGTCCACTCTTGGGTCTGTACAAAAGAAATTAAATCGACCTTTTTACCAGACCATGAAAAGAATGTAATTGCCATGAATTCGAAAATGATAAGAATATGTAATAGCAAAGATTATTCAATCATTAAGACGC